GTACTCTATGTGCACAGGCCCAGTAGACCACTATCCATAATACTCAGCAAATAGGAAGTAGGAACACCATAGTTCCACATGAGTATAAATACAGGCTGAAAACAACAGGTCATATCAGAAAATGTCTAATTCTTGTACTTTTTTCGTATTCTATATTAACTGTCATATATCAGAGAAAACATTCTGTTGTTTCCTCATCAATCAAATGGCAGCACCATACTTTTAGTTGTGTAGGTATTAACCTTGGAGTTTATATTAGTTTCTTTCATATAGAAAATTACCAGAGAGATTAGCAATGTGGCACATCAGTTTAAGCTACAACTTGTGACACTGGTCCCTCATGTCCGAGCACTCTTTTCTTGCCTGCTTCCCTTTCAGTCTAGCTTCCTGGTAGTGTGAGTGGACTTCTGCCCATGTGGAATGATCTAGCAGAGGCATCTGACTCCATCTTTACCCCCCTCTCTGTCACTCTTTCTTTCAAAATAAATAAATCTTTTTTTTTTTTAAGATTTATTTTTTATTTTTATTGGAAAGGCGGATATACAGAGAGGAGAGACAGAGAGGAAGATCTTCTGTCAGATGATTCACTCCTCAAGTGAGCGCAACGGACGATGCTATGCCGATCCAAAGCCAGGAGCCTCTTCCAGGTCTCCCACGTGGGTGCAGGGTCCCAAAGCTTTGGGCCATCCTCGACTGCTTTCCCAGGCCACAGGCAGGGAGCTGGATGGGAAGCGGGGCTGCCGGGATTAGAACCAGCGCCCATATGGGATCCCGGGCGTGCAAGGCGAGGACTTTAACCACTTGCGCCACTGCGCCGGGCCCAAATCTTTTTTTTTTTTTAAGATTTATTTTCATTATTTTTTTATTATTGGAAAGGCTGATATACAGAGAGGAGAGACAGAGAGGAAGATCTTCCGTCTGATGATTCACTCCCCAAGTGAGCGCAACGGCTGATGCTATGCCAATCCAAAGCCAGGAGCCTCTTCCAGGTCTCCCACGCGGGTGCAGGTTCCCAAAGCTTTGGGTTGTCCTCGACTGCTCTCCTGGGCCACAATCAGGTAGCTGGAAGGGAAGCGGGGCTGCCGGGATAGAACCGGCGCCCATATGTGATCCCGGGCGTGCAAAGCGAGGACCTTAACCACTGCACCACCGCGCCAGGCCCCAAAATAAATAAATCTTTAAAAAAAAATTGCTACATAAGGAATCAAACCACATACATTGTGTTATCTCAGTTTTTGTGTACCCCTTAACTGAGTCCACTGTTTATAATCTTATAAGAGTATAAGTCTACATATGGGCTATTGTAGCTCAACTAAGAAAGGATTTGCTTCTCAACTCATGCAGATTGTTGGTTGCGTTTAGTTCTTACTGCAGTTTTTAAATTAATGGTTTTCTTTTTTTATGGGATAGAGACAGGAAGTGCTTTCTTGTTGCCTGTTAACTACTGCTGTCAGTTCCTAGCAGGGCATTCATAGTTCTTTCCCAACATGTCAGCAGAGGCAAGTGCACTGGTGTCTTATGTAATGTAATTATATACATAATCACATGCATCCTGTTCTCTTTTACATATTTGTGTTGGTTAGAGGTAAATCATTGGCCGTGCATACACTCAGGGTATTCACACAGCAAACATATAAAAAAGGTGAGGCGCACGGGCGCTATTGTTTCAGTCAGCGAATTTGAACAATGTTGTTTTTTAATGTTCTGTCTTATCTTAATTATTGTTAAGTTTTTTTAAAACTGATTTGCCTACAGCTTTCCCTGCATAATTTTAATCTATTCCGTAAATAGCAGCCAGGATAATCCTATTAAAACATAAGACACATGATCTCATTGTAGTGCTCATTTAGTTTTTCATGTCATCTAGCTGAAACAGTACTACAGTGGTTTTCATGTCATCATAGAAACCAGAGTCATCATACTCCCTATAATGGGCTTCTCTGGCAAGGAACATTTACTATTGTTTGATGTCATCTATTTGTACTTATTTTTTACAGTACTGTTGCTATATGGCCCCGTATTTTTTTCAGACCTGTTAGAAATGCTCTCACCTTAGATCATTAACTCCAACTGCTTACTGTGTCATGGCCACTTTTCCCCCAGATAGTTCAATGGTTTATACTTGCATTTCTTTGAGGTCTTTACTGAGTTGTTTTCTTAGTTATTTGACCCTTTTATTAATAAGATTCCATTTCTTGAGCATTTCTGCTACTCCTTCATTGAACTTCCTTTTTTGGTTCCCCTTTCTAATTTGGTACATACTGTGTTCTAGTAAGTTTCGGTTTTGTTCATTGTCTGTTCTCTGCCTTTCTGATTACCATGAGGACTGAGATTTTTTCATGTTTGAGATTTTGCAGCTGTGACCAAGATGTATCCTCAACATCAAACACAGTAGACAGTGGCTACTCAACCAGTGGTTTTGAACTTTGTTTATAGCAAATTGAATTTTGTGTCATTGTGGTGAGGGCTCACAAAAAATGCTATTGCTGTCTTCAAGGTTACTTTTATATCTCCTTTTAATATCATGATCTTATATTAGTATTTTCTCTTTTATTGAGCATATATTTTGAATTATGTACAGAAAAGAGAAATATTTATTATTTATTATTTTGCTCTTGAAATGAACAAACATTTTCAGATTCTCAAATTTGGTTGGGTAATCTTTTACATTCTTCATTGATGTTTTATAATCACTTCTAAGTGTTAATCTCTCATTTTTCTTATCATTACATCTCTATTTTTCCTTCTTTATGCTTCCATTTGATTTATTTAAAGACGATAGTTCAGTTTTGTTATATGTAAGAAAAGTAAGCTTTAGAGACAGAAAGATCAGTGTTCTAGTCTCATTACCACATAGCTAATGAAACATCAGAATAGCAACTATTATTAAAAGGTGCTTTCATTGATTTATATACTGTCTGGTGTAGGCCAGGCATTATTCTGAATGCTTTGGGTAGATTAGTTCTCAAACTTCACAGTGACCTTTCAATATAGATTCTCCTGTTTTTTGCAGATGTGGAATCTAAACCAGGACGATTAAGAAAATAAAACTGTAAAACAGTTTTTGTCCACTGTCTTCCAAGTAGTAAATGAGAAATTCAGGGCCTAAATGCTCATCTTTCTGTCTTGTATTAGTATTTTTCACATTGACTTGCATTTCTAAAATGAATTCCTAAAATAGTAGACAGTTTTGCCTTTCTCAGTTTGCTTCAGTGAGAATGCCTTTCCTGTTTATGTTTTAATTGTTGTGTTGAAATGGATCTTTTCTTAAATTTAGAAACACATTCTTTTAATGTATTCTATAATTTTTGGAAGACAGGGCATAGAAAATAGATGCGGAATGTTAAGTCAGATAGCTTTTGCTTAGCTGGCCAAGTGACTCTATAGTTATTTCTGTTTATGAATTAATGAATTATATCAGAATTTATTTTAAATATAAACTCTTGCATCCCCCCCACCCCCAACAAACTATATTGTGTTGCAGTATGCTGTTGCTTTAATTTACAGCAAGATCAAATTTTCTAGGTGTCAAACTATTCCTACTAATTCTAGGAGTCTTCACATCACTTGGTAGGTAGTTTCAGGTCACTGCTTTGGTGAGGAGAGTTTGATGTAAACATGCGTGTGTGTGTTTTTTTTTTTTTTTAGCTCTTTGTAAGTGGTTTGTGATTAATAGAAAGCTAGAGTTGGGGCAGACATTTTGTGTAGTGATTAAATTGTGGAGTGGGAAACCTGCATGACAGGTACAGGTCAGAGTGCCTGGCATGTATTCTGCATCTACTCTCTCAGTAAGAAGTTGGAGTCCATCCCGGGAGCTCAGTGTGAGCACTCGCACTCTGCTATCCTTGGATATTTTCATTGGCATCTTAAACCCTAAGCCAAACACTCTTTCCCTAAACATTTTCTTCTCTATTTACATATGCTTTTTGATAGGTAAAATGTGCAGTTGTATAAAAATACAAAAATCAAATGATTTAAACATATTTAAAGTAGTGAATACTATAGTAAATTTCTTATTCATTTTTATCAATTAGCACTATTTTGTCAATTTTGTTTCTGTTCAGCCCTACATGTGTACTGATTTCTTTTAAATATATATTCTAGATAATTCACTTCACCTTTAGGTAATTCAGTATATATTCATAACACATTAAGACCTATTTTTAAAAGATTAAATAGCCAAAGTCCCCATTACTATCATGCAATTGTTATATTTTTAAAAAAGTAATATTTATCTGATATTGTTATATTTGTCATATTTTCTCATGTGTCTCAAAACACATGTCTACAATTTATTTTAATTCAGATCAAAATAACAACTATGTATGTGCTTCATATTTCTTTTAAAGTTTGTAACAGTTCCCTTTTTATTTCTTTATGGCATTTCCCTCTAAAAAAAAAATGTAATGTGGAGGATTTTCCAAATTATGGATTTCATTAACTCTTTCCTCTGTGTGGTATCTTTTAATGTAGTCTTTAATCCCCATATAAATTTGTAATAATAATAAAATATTTAGAATTTATTAGATTCAGGTTTAGTTTTCTTGGCAAGAATATTTCAAAGACTGTGCAATGAGTATCACTTTAAGAAAAGTTAATGGTAGAATTTACCAATGTTTTGAAGTGGTCTCAGCTTCACCTAAAAGTGTACATTTTACCTAATAAATCTTTCTTGCATTGATAGTAAAATGATGATTCTTCCATTTAATTATTGTTGAAGGAAAAATTAGGATAGTTTGTTTGATTTCCTGATGTTCTTTGTTTCTTTAAATTATGTGAAAATTGAGGAAAAAATATACCAGATTTTGCATAGTTTTAGATGAAATTTAAAAATCTAGAGGAACTGTATCAGTAAATGATTAAAAACAAGTCTACATGGCTCTGTGATCATTCCTGTCATGATTACCTTCATATTTCCATGCAAAAGTATTACTTTAAGACTGCGAGAATGTGTCTGTACTTTTTACAAAAATCTACTTTTGTTTTTTCTGTTTATACAGGTTATTAAATGTAGTGTGCTGTAATCTGGACACTCTTCTTTTATTAGAGGCTCAGTATCAGGTATCTAAAATATTACTAAATGCACAGGAAGAAAATATTGTACAGACTTCCGAGAGCCACAGGTAAACAAATAGGAGGAAATGTTTAAAAACAATTAAAACAAACAAACAAACAAACATAGTAACAGTTTTCTGTACACATTCTTTAAGATAATATTATTCTCTGCTGTTTCTAAATATTTTCTCATTACCTAAATTGAATAGATAAAAACCAGGGTAAAAAAGCAATTAAAGCATAAATGCCTAATGTTTTTGGAAAGCGCTTACAGAGTACTGCCTTCAAAATGAATTGCTTTTGTCTTATTTACCTTCTTGTAGTTTTTTTTTGTTTAATTCTAATTTTATTAGTGTGTCTGTAACATTATGTCACTTTTACATTCCTATTGCATGTGTAAGATGAACCATAGAGTAAAATATTTGATTTTGTGTCTCTTACAGTGATATTCTTATCCTGTTGTCTTGCTTATGTTAGCACACACTCATAAATGCAGATTATTTGCAAAAATAGATTCTGGTAATATCTTGATAACTTTTTCTCTTACTATGTCTAGTTTGCTGTTCTCTCATTTAGCTGACATTTATCCAGTGAACATTAAATACCTGGCATTGCTTTCATGTCCACAATTTTAAAAAATTAAAGCACTGGGTTTCCATGCTATCCAGGTCTTAAAATTTTTTAGTTTATTGCTTGGTATTCCAGGTTTGATATAGAAGGAAGGATTAAAAGCTACAGAAAATATGACTAATTTTAAGTAACATCTTGATTCTAAATTTAAAATATTAGGTTCCTAAAATTGAAAAAAAAATCTTGACTATGATGGTTAGAGTTGTAGAACCCTCCCCCCAAAGAAAAATTAAAAGGGAGGAAGACCAAAATGATTAAAATCAGAGACGGAGAAAAAGAGATGTAGCAGCAGATAAAACAAAGAATTATCAGGCATCACTACAAACAACCATGTGCTAGTAAATTTGAGAATCTTGAATTAACGATCACTGTCAAAATGTTGTTTATTTAAATGTAGTGGCATTTCATAAGAAAATATTCTGTGATTAGCATATTCCCATATATTGGTTATATCTCTCACAGTTGTTTAAGATGAAACGGTCATGTTAATCCTTTGTATTTTAAATACATGTTGATCAACAAAAATTCATTTTCTAAACATTTTTGTCTATTTTCATTGTAATTCAGTGGCAAAATTTAAAAATAAGATTTTGTTCAATTAAAGAGAAAACCAAAGAATGTGTGTTTTTCAGAGATTTTATCATTGATGGATTGTCAGTAGAGAGAAATCATGTCCTTGTCAGAATAAGCCTTGTTGGTGGGCCACTGGAACGAATTTTGCCTCCAAGAACACTGGAGAAGGTGAGTGGGGTCAGAGAGGATTGAGGTTTCTTTGTCGTGTTTTGAAGAGGTCAACACAAATGACAGTGAACACCATCAGCTCGTAGGTGACTACATCACAGAGTTGAACTTTGGTTCCTTGAGAAAGCTTGGGAAACAGGGAAATACTTTCAACCTAGAGTAGTGCTGTTGATGGCAAAAAGTCCTGGGTTTGCGTAGCACAATAGAATATTGTTTTATTAAAATATTATGCTTCTCCCTATGTATCTTTGAAGATTTTACTTGCAATGTCTGTCATTGGTAATACCTTTTATGATTATATAATTTTATTTTTTATTTATGTGGCAGTTGTTGAATACATTCTTGTATATCGATATACATTGCATGAGTTTCTTATAAAGGTATTTTTGGTCATTTTTGTTCTGAATATTCTTGCTTTGACTGTCTCTCTGGATGAAATAGAAATGACTGACAACACCAGAACAAGTGTTTTATGAGAAAAAATATTTGAATTTCCCTTGAAGATTATAATTTTCCCTTTTAAAAAAGTACAGAAGCTATCATTATCAGTTCAACTTGTGAAATAACTCAGTAAATGTTTGAATCCAGTGTTTCTTTAAGACAGTTCTATTGTATTTCACTTTACTATGTTTAGTGTTAAGTTTAATGCTTATTTGAATGACAACTACTGAATTTATAAGCCAAAATGTCCACTTATATAATATATTTCAGCAGGCTTTAAAATTCAATATTATTTTGATATATCCCTTAACATCATCTGCTGTTTTATTTTAGGGAGACAATCCATATCCATGGCCAATGTTTTCATCATATCCTTTGCCAAGCTGTTACCAGTCAGAAACAACAAGGAATGCCAACATCAAACCAGGTACTTGACTCATTATCAATGCCATTTTATTTGTAATGCTTTTTTTAATTTATAATTTGAATGAAAAGGAAAATGTTCCCCAGCTGTAGGCAACTGCCTAGGTTACCTTGTACCTAGGCAAGTGTTATATAGCTGGAAGAAGAGCAGAAAAGGCTGGTGGGCATTCTGGGCCTGCTTAATGCCAAATTTGTGTTAACTGTACTAGTGTGCTATCATAGTTACCTGTTCTGGTTTTCTTGTTTTAAAGATAGGTAGGGGAGGGGGGAATGTTGGGCCAGGACACAGCACGCTGGCCCACAGGCTGATGGACTGCATAATTTCCAGGAAAGGGGGTCCTGGGATGTAGGAGTGGCTGATGGCATTTTTGACATGGAAGGGATGACTTCTGGGGGCTCCCACAGACCCAGCCACTGTACTCATAGGTAGGTGAGGGAGCTGAGACACTGGTTTAGAGGAGAAAAACTGTAGAGAATGTCTAGGTCAGGCCAAGGTTCCTGCCCACATGGGAGACCTGGGCTGGCTAAGTAGCATTGCTTGCTGCCTACTGCTGCCTGCAAGAACTGGGACTGGGGAGCATGTGTAGTCATGCTTAGCCATAGACTCCACCTGCAAGTGCTGGAGCTGGGGCTGGGCTGCATCAAGTTGGATTGCAGCACCCACCAAAACACAAGAGAATTAGATCTGAGACAGAGTCTATAGGGGAGTTTTGGGGTTGCATCTGTGGGATGCAAACCACTGGTTTGCATGGAGAGCTGTGAGTGGTGATCAGCCTAACCAAATTGGACCGTGGAACTTACCTGACAAGAACTCACCTGACACTCACAGGAGCCAAGGACAGGCTGGCTGCAGTACCTGTCAGCACATGAAGGACAGGACTAGGGGCAGACCATGCTAAGCTTGGCCACATCTCCCACAAGGACACATGAGATCTGGGCTGGTAGGGGAACTCCTCAGCTGTGCTATAGCTCCCACTACAGAGCATAATAGCTGGGGTTGGGGCAGGGTGGGGCAGGCCAGGCTGTCATCAGCATTTTGTGGCCCAAGTATAGGGAAAGGCCAGACTGGGCCAAGCCACAGCACCTGATGGCACACATGAAAGTCAGGACAGAGTGGGCTATGCCTAGCTGGGCTGGTCAATGACAGCTACCAGTCAGAGCTGAGACTATGAATGGGCCATGCCAGGCTGCATAAAGTACCCGCCAGCACTCATAAGATCTTGGGTTAAATATATCTTAAATATACATTGGCAATACGATGCTGGACTCTGCCATTCTCTATACCTGTAATATCAGGCTACACTTAAATAGCAAAATCATGGACTTCTGACTGTTCTCCGAAGGACTATATTATTGTAATAAAATAGGGAACATCAGTGGAAGGAGGAGGGATAGGAAGTCCCTGAGCCTTTGGAAGTGTATTATAAGTAAATATAAATAAATTTAAAAGATTTTCCATGAAGAGATATGTTAGTAAAAACATTGAGTGAAATACTCCCTGTTATCCTACTTATGATTGTTTTATAGTTCTTGACCAAGTAAGAGTGCTTGTTAAAATTATTAAACTTTGGTTTCCACAATATACATGGCCACAGTTTTACAGTTGCTATAACTATCTTTTTTTTTTTTCATATGACTTTAGTGACCTTAGAAAGCATTGTTCTACTCTTCCATGAATTTCTCGTTTAAGGTTATGAATGGGCTTTTCAAATGTAATTCATGTTGGTTGTACATATATATATATGTATACATGTATATACTTTATGAATATATACTCTCTTTATATAAATTAAAACAAAAATATCTGGGATTGGAAATCGGTCTTGTTCGAGTACTCTGGGGACTCCTCTGATAAGATATAGTTCTCATTGGTGACTGTGAGAGTTGAGGCTGACTGAGAGGTGAGGCGGACTGAGAGGTGAGGCAGACTACGCTGAGCAAGACTACAGCACCCATCAGCATGTGTGTGGGCTGAGTTTGGACAACAGCGGATACGGATGTAGGCCAGTTAGTCTAGAGTGCAGTACCTGCTGTTGAGTACCAGCACTGGGGGCCAGCCATATCAGGCTGGGTCACAGCACTCATTGGTACAAGTGAGATCCAGGGCTAGGAGGAGGCCTACTAGGGAAACTTGGGAATTTCCCCTGCTAGGCCTCATTTTCCACTGGGTGAACCTGAGTGCTGGGGCCCAGCTGAGCTGCAGCACCTGTCAGTGTATATGTGAGCTGGATCTATGGCTGGGCCAGTCCATAGCACACGCTAGCACAAGTGAGAGTCAGGATGGAACATAGGCCAGGCCAGGTTTAATGAGTTCACATGAGGGTTGGAACTGACAGTGGTATAGGTTGGGCTGGTGCGCTGCACCTGCCCGTGAGGGTTAGGACTGGGTATGAGCCAGGCTGAAGCAGGCTGTAGCAGTTTCAGTTGAACGCCAAGTCTGAGAGAGAGCTGTCTCACAGTGGGCCACAGCATCCGGTGACATTCGCAACCTTCAGGGCTGGTGGGAAAACTGTGGACACTCCTCCTCTAGGCTGCCATTCCTGCTGGTGAACACAAGAGCCAGGGCTGGTGGTAGACTGTGCTGAGCATGGTGTCAGCACTTGTTGACATGTGTGTTTACTTGGCCCAAGGGTGGGTTAGGCTGATCTAAGCTGCAGCAATTATAGGTGTGCCTGAAAGCTGTATGTGGGATGGATTGGACTAGGCTGCAGCATGTGCTGATACGTGTAATAATTGATGCTAGGACAGGTCTGGTAGGAATCAATGGGAGGTCACCTCAAATCAGGCCACAGAATTTGCTGGTGTGTATGATAACTGAGCCTGTGGCAGTCTGGGTTGGCTAGGCCACAGCATCCATCAGTTTGCATGAGAAATGGGGCTGGTAGTGGAACTGACCAGGCAGTGATATCAATCTGTATGTGCACTGACTGCTGCAGGTGAGCCTGAGCCTGTACTGGCTGTCACATCCAGAGTCAAGTGTGAGGTTATCTCAGACAGGGTTGCTTGAGGGATTCCCCAACTAAGTCACTGAACTCAGACCCTGGCCACAGGGAAAATCGCAAGATATGTCTTAGGGTGCGTGTGAACTGGGCCTCCTCAGTTATTGATGCTTGTTCTGTGGTCAGCATGCTCAGATGCACATGCGGGGATGCCATAGCCAGATTATCTAGGACAGTGGGAACATAGAGTGCCTCATCAGAAATTTAAAAGCAGAACAGATTGGACAACTCTCTTAGCCACACTTTGCAGCAAGCAGCTGAGTTTATGGATGCAGAAGGATGGATTTAGTCAGCCAATAGATTGCTAGACAGTGGTGCAACTAAGCCAACAGTGTCTCAGATCTGTCAAAGTAACACCCTGGGAACATAGAGACATCAGGGTCTCTACGGAGTCATCAGACTACATCAAATGCAAGGGATGATCCCCTCAATTTCCTCCCTGAGGATTTAGGAGAAAATAAAAGATGGAAGCATTCCAGCCACCTTTCTTCATACCTTGAGACTTCCCATACTAATCGGAGAGCCACATGGGCGTGCATCCCACTCAGCTATTGATTACTTTGTTTAGCTTGTGTGCATGGTTCATGTGTGCCTTCATTTAATTTTAAATTTTTCTTACTAAATATTTGTATAGTTGAGATGATTCATATTCTTTGTGGCTGAAGAATGATAATATGTTCCAACAGCAAGGGTTGCTTTTTAAAGAAAAGCAGTAATGATTTTTGATTTATTAAAATGTTTTAAGTATATAGAACTCTTATCTATTCAAAAGAATGTTGTTGTTGGTTTGTTACTATTTTATGCTATTCACAAGTTTTATGTCTTCAGGACCAACCATGTGAATATTATGGTTCACTGATTTGTGGAACCATGAATCACATTCAAATAATTAAATAATTGTGTAATGGTACAGTGTGACAGATGCTGAAGAGACAAATATATTGCCTCTTAGCAGAGTATATAATCAGGTTACTGTTGAAGCAATGTTATGTAAAAAAGGAGACATGGTATTTTCTAGTTAATACAAAAACATTTGTGACAGAGCATTTGCATACAGATGGAGAGAATTAAGACATATTCATCAGTTTCAATATTTGAAGAGTATGTGAAATTTGTAATGTGAGAGCAAGAGTGGACAGTGACAAGACTGAACATGTAAGCCAAGAATGAATGTAAGACCAGCATAGTGGATATTCACATGTTTTGAATCCATCCTAAGAACAATAAGAAGTCAGCTTTTACAGTGGGGTCTTCTGAAATAAATATAATGATACACAATTAAAATATTCCTTAACTTGAGAGGTTATTTCTCATATCAATATTATCCTCTTAATACTGATATTATTTTTATTAGAGGGAGCTATTGTATATGAGATTCATTTTTATACATTTAATATGCTTTAAAACTTGTATATAATTTGTGTTTTACCAAAGCATTTTGAAGAAATGAATTATCTACTCCATTACCTGCAACTATTCTAATTTAAGCTTTCTGATAATGGATGTAAATGAACTGCCAGTGTTGGTCATAAGGGCCAGTTTCTGCATTTGTGTACTACATTCTGTCTTCTTTCTGTTTCTGACAGGACATTTTTTTTTAATCCTGTTGTCCCACACTGTAGGTTTTGGACTTCTGAGCTTCCATAATCACACAAACCATCTTTTTATAATACACACATACATCATTCTACACACATACATATGCGTGCAAACACACACACACACACACACACCATCCTTTTAGTTCTGTTTCTCTGTAAAGTCCTGACAAAATACAGATGGCCCTCATTTCAAAGCATAGCATCATGGAATCCTTCTGCATTTTAAATAAGTTCAACGGCTGTTGCCTCACTTTTGATCCTGTTACTCAACTTTGTTGTCCATTCAAGGCTTTAAATTGGATGTTTTCTGTCTCTGGTTACTGCCTCCACACCTGTCTTTTCTTTTTCTTTTTCGTTTTTTCAAAGTATTTCTTTATTTGAAAGTCAGTTAAGGAGACCGATTG